ATAGTGTTGTTGTGTGTTGATGAGGTGTATTCCATTGCTGTGGTGAGTGGACAGTGCAAGCATCGTCTGACCTTCGCCAGCTGATGCAACCACACAACCCCTCTTCTCCTCACAGCCCTCTGTGTCTAAGTGCAGTTTAAAATTGGAAGTGGGCACCGGCACTCGGGATGAGGCTGAAAGATCCCCATGCCAAATGCCGTTTTGTGTGCTCACTCCCAAGGCCCTAAGTGTGTGTTTGCGTGCAATGTCGTTGGTGGAAGTCTTTAAGGTGCAAATAAAATTGGGGGGCAGGCTGCCACAGGAATGCGGAAATGGGATCCATACCCACACCCCCTGGCTTGCCCACCCCCTACGGTCCTATGTGCATGAATGTGTGAAGGGGCAGGAGGGAAAAATGCATGGGGATGGTGAGGAATGGCTGGTTGGCCTAAGCTCTCCAGGGAGCCAGCTGCCCCCCTGGCTCCAATAGGCACCTCCATTCCCAAAATGCCACCCAGGGCATGGAGACCCCAGCCCATGTCACCAGGGCCCAAAGCAGCAGCATCGCAGAGCCCCACGGAGTCCGAGGGCATTGTTACTTTTAAACATATCCATAATAATACATTTCTTATCCGTGTGCTTCCGGACAGATACATGGAAATAAATGACAATTTTTAACAGGTTTGGTCTGAACATGTTTAAGGTTTTAAAGTCAGTGTGACAGGATTGTTGTCTCTGCTCCCTGGTTCCTAATAACGGGTCACATTCCTGCTTTTTAACCCAACAGCATCACAGTTTAAGCCCATCTAAATGTTTATGAGCATCTCTGCTGATGCTCAAGAGCAGAACTGGGTTATTTATATTCATTCTGGGAAAACTCAACATAGCAGTCTGTGGAAAAACATGACTGCGTTTAAGTAGGTGGACTTTTCCGCAATATACATTGAAGATGGAGGTCTGAAAACTAAAAATATTAAATCAAACAAACACATTTCTTTATTTCTGTATAAATATTGTGTAGAATACTTTGTATGCTCCCTAAGAGTCCATTCTGTTAAGGAAAGAAAATCATACATTTCTTTAGTGGAAATCTACAGAATGATGCACAGATCTGCATCAATAAATGATCCTATTGTGAAAATCAGTGAAGTTAAAAAACGATACCAGTCTGGGAATTATTGTTTTACAAAATCTGGGGCAGCTGAGATTTTGTCCCAGAGCCATAAAATAAAGGATGTTGGTATGAAACTCACTCCCGTAGCTCAGAGTGCACGCCTGACATGTAAATTAATTTGTTAGAGAATAATACTCTAATGTTTTATAAAAGTAAAAACAAAAATCTTTGTCGACTAAAACCTAAAGCATATATATACACATACATATATATAATATATACGTATATATATATATATATATATATGTATATATATATATACACACACACACACATATATATATATATATATATATATATATATATATATATATATATATATATATATATATGTATATATATATATATATATATATATATATATATATATATATATATATATATATATATATATACATATATATATAAATGGTAAATGGCCTGTATTTGATATAGCACCTTCTAGAGTCCTGGAACCCCCCAAGGCGCTTTACAACACAATCAGTCATTCACCCATTCACACACACATTCACACACTGGTGGGGGTGAGCTACAATGTAGCCACAGCTGCCCTGGGGCGCACTGACGGAGGCGAGGCTGCCGAGCACTGGCGCCACCGGTCCCTCCGACCATCACCAGCAGGCAACGTGGGTTAAGTGTCTTGCCCAAGGACACAATGACAGCGACAGACTGAGCGGGGCTCGAACCTGCAACCTTCCGATTACGGGGCGAGCGCTTAACTCCTGTGCCACCGTCGCCCCAACGTATACATATATATATATATATATATATATATATATATATATATATATATATATATATATATATACACAGAGGTGGAAAGAGTACTAAAATGTCCTACTTAAGTACGAGTACCAATACTTTGATAATTTTTTACTAAATTACAAGTAAAAGTACTTGCCTACATTTTTACTCAAGTAAAAGTACAAAGTATCGTAAACAAAATGTACCCAAAGTAAAAGTTACTTAGTTACATTTTTGTCAGCGTAAGGATGGCTACATCTACGTAGTGCTAAATCACAACGCCAGTTCACAATTCACTTGTGTGTGCGCGCGCACACACACACTCAAACACGCACAGCTTGAAGGAGGGATTTCTATCCAATCAGTGAGAACAGGACGTGCACATTGATTGGACGAGGTTTTTCTAGGATGGTAAGTTTCAATTGTGATTAAAAATATTCTTTATTTTGAGAAATGATGCCATCAGCATGTGAGGTATCTCAATGTTCTCATGACAAAACTCTAACATGAGACTGTGCTCTAACCTGTCACATAACAAGCTAAATAAAAGTCAAACATTTCAGATGGACCGTATGACAGCTGCTAACGTTGGCCCTGCCCTACTTTACCTCTACATCACAGTTCCTTTATCCATGTCCATCCTAGAGCTCCTGTCTGACCTTCATGCTTATTTAGAGCAGCTGATTTTTAAAGTTAGCAGAGTTCATCCTTGGTAGTGGGTTCACTCACTCATTTAACCCTTCACCACTGAAATCAGTTTGTTTATTCCAATCCTCCTAAATAATCCTCCAATCATCCAACTGGAATCCTTAAGGGTCCCGTAACGTCCATCCTGTCAGAACAGACCTTGGGAGCCCAGGTGTTACTAGAACTAACGGTGTTTCCTCACCAGCGTGAGCCTCCAAATTGTGAAGGTTGGACTCCAAACATGAACTTTAAATTCATGCATTTATCTCCTCTTGTAACACTTCTAACATGTTTTAAAAGGCTTGTATCATGATAAGTTACACCTCCCAGACCAAAGATAAGATAAAACATTATCATAGACACTATTAAGACGTCATTATTTATGAAATATGAGTTATTTTCCTGAGCCATTACTTCAGCCAAGATATAAGATGCATGGATTTGGTGAAACCACACTTTCTCATGCAGTTCTATATGTGTAGCACACACACACACACACACACACACACACTGCAGCATGTTAGAATCATGTGAATGACTAATTTAACTACACTGAAATGCTTTAGTAATAATTCAATCTCTTATTCTGGAGTAAAATAAAGAAACAAGCTAAATCATCACATATCTGTGGCATCAAGGAGCATCTTCTGAGTTCAAACACAGGGATGGAGCACAATGTTTACACCTGAACAGTATCAGGATGTTTTAACTCACAGAGGCCTGCAGGTCTTCTGTTTTATGAGCAAAGCGCCGATAATCCGCTTGTTATGAGCGCTAAACGTTATTTTGCCGCTGCCGTGCGGAGCGGTAGAGAAACACAATTCAAACACGGAACCGAGTGCGGCTACCAAACCGAGCAGAATTCTGATGACGTCACACCGGTGCGCGAAGGTGCGGGTTCCAATCCACAGGAGAGGGAGGAGAGAGGAGGTAAACAGCGAGTTGAGGAACTGAACTGATGTTTTTGAGCAAAAGTGTACACCCCCACACCCCTCCCCGGTTTAGACACGGCGCTCATGCAGGTGTCTTATTTCCGTTCCGACGCTGCTACACGTAATATTTTTAATTTATTAAGCCTATAATTTATTTTTACTCAGTAACGGATATCATTTAAAATGTAGCGAATTACAATTCTTTTTTAAAAACGTACTCAAGTAAAAGTAAAAGTACAGCTTTTAAAAACGACTTAAAAAGTATAAATATACAAAAAAGCTACTCAATTATAGTAACGTGAGTAAATGTAATTCGTTACTTTCCACCTCTGTATATACATATATTGTGTGTGTGTGTGTGTGTGTTTATGTTTATGTATTTAGCAGAAGCTTTTGTCCAAAGCGACTTACAAGTGATAATCGGCATATTGCCCTTAAGGCTAACAACAACAATAACAACAACAACTTGATATCAGTCATGGAGAGGAGGGAACAAAGGAGTGGACGGTAGAGAGGGGGGACGGGTGCAGGGAGGGTGCTAGTTTAGAAGATGCTCTCTGAAGAGCAGGGTCTTCAGGAGTTTCTTGAAAATTGAAAAGGAAGCCGCGGTTCTGGTAGTGCTTGGAAGGTCATTCCACATTTGTGGAACGATGCATGAGAAGAGTCTGGATTGTCCTGAGCGTGATGTAGGCACTGCTAGGCGACTATCCTGTGATTACCGGAGCAGCCGGGCCGAGACGTAGGCCTTTGCAAGAGGATTCAGGTTGATGGGAGCCGTACCATCTCGGACTTTGTATGCTAGTGTTAGCAATTTGAATAAAATGCGTGCTGCTAGTGGTAGCCAGTGGAGTTCAATGAACAGAGGGGTGACGTGTGCTCTTTTTGGCTGATTGAAGACCACACACGCCGCTGCGTTCTGGACCATTTAAAGAGGTCTCACAGTACAGGCTGGAAGACCAGTTAGAAGGGCATTGCAGTAAACGAGACGGGAGATGACAGTAGATTGCACCAGGAGCTGGGTGGCATGTTGTGTTGGGTATGGTCTGATCTTTCGTATGTTATACAACGCAAAGCAGCATGAATGAGCAACAGAGGTAACATGATCTTTAAAGGTCAGGTGTTCATCAATCACAACACCCAGATTTCGAACTGCCTTTGAAGGAGCCAGAGATAGGAAGCCATTTTGGATTGAGATATTGTGTTGTATGGATGGTTGCTGGGATATATATATATATATATATATATATATATATATATATATATATATATATATATATATATATATGTATATATACTGTATGCTTTAGCATGTCAAATTGTGTTTTTTGTTTCATCTTATTTGCATAATGTCTTTATACTTGTGAATTGGATTGAGTCCTTAAAAAAGGCTACTTGACTTGACTTGAATATAAATTTCTGTTCGTGTAAGAGAAAATGAGAGGCTAAAAGGATGTTTGTTTTCTGGTAAGTTTCTCCTGACATACCTGATAGATCCTCTATGGGGCCAACCAATTGAGCACAGGTGATGTTGCAGTGCTCCGCTCCTTTTAGTGAGTGGGAGCAGTCCACGTTCTTACTGAAGGAAAGAGATAAAACACACACACACACACACACACACACACACACACACACACACACACACACACACACACACACACACACACACACACACAGGTTACAGGAGTGTTAGTTTTCTCTGTAGATGTGTCTGTGAGGTCTACTTTTGTATTTGGATGTGAATCAAGATTTACCAAATCTCCCGTTTGATTTGGCAAATGCGACATCCTTCACAGAACTCTCCAGAATGTTGAGGGTCATCACACACACACTTGCCACACACACACTTGCCCTGCCCACTGCAAATGAAGCCATCTGGTGACTGGCAGGTTGTTGGGGAGGTGGGACATCCACAGCTTTCACCCGTCCACCCTTCCTGGCATACACATTCCCCTGACACACACACTCCGTGGCCTGGGAGGAAAAAGCAAAAACGTGGAGATCAGTCCGAGATGTAGCGTTATCATTAAGAAAGTAAGTCTTCGTCAAAGTGTGTGTCTTTACCACCACACAGAAGCTCCCGATTGTACGGGCAGGAGAAGTCATCCATCTCACAGTATTTCCCGAAGATCAGCCCAAGTCTGCTCTGCTCACAGACACATTTCCCACATTCACACACTCCACGGCTGCTACAGTCTACATTCCACCCATCTGCTCTGCAGCTCCTGTTCGGATCAATGTTTAGGTCTTTTAAATGTCCGTGATCTGGTCTGAGCTCCTGACTGCTGCAGGGTGACTGGACATCTTCATTACAGCGTCCTGTTGGTCTACACTTGCAGCCACATTTGGAGTGGACTCTGACGACGGTGGACTCATTATAACCCACTGGGTGAACCAGCACCACTACATCGTTGTCTTTACCATCAGCAGAGCAGGCGTGTTGGCCAATGGTGATGTTGAAGTAGACCTGATTGGCAGAAGAAAGAGGGTTGTTATGTTTTATTAGTCTTTACCAAACTTCCAAATAAAGATGGCTGCCATTGCTAATCTCAGCCATCTTATCCAGCTTAGTCTGTGTTACTGAGATTGTGCATGTTTGTTTCATGATTTGACCACAAACATCATAACTCCATCCATTCATCATAAAATGGTTTAACTTTTACAAATCAGCAATTCTAAGAATGAAATACAGAAGGATGCTGGGCAGCCTTGTTAATCTCTCAGATGTTTCCTGTACAAATCGTTGGTTCTTATAAAACATTTCAGTTAAACATATCATGTAGGAGTGATGTTTGAGAAGTGAAACAGAGTTTATAGGATTTACAGAAATTGTACAATAAATGTTTAAATAAAATTAGGCAGGTGCATAAATTTGTCATTTAATGATACCAACATTTTTAGAACAAATTTTTGAAACTCGAAATTGGTGTGGTAAGTCCAGTGACCCTTGACCTCCATACACAAGTGAATCCAGAAATGAGAAATTCAGTTCAATTCAAATTCAAAAATACTTTATTAATCCCAGAGGGAAATTGATTGAAGAGTGTTTAAGGGGGTCACGTTTCCCTCCTCTGTGAACATTCTCTGGAGAGCAGCAACATGGGGTCTCAGAACAACTCTCACATGAGCTGAAAACAAAGACTTGACACCATCATGGTTTCGGGGAAGGATCCAGAAAGCTGTCTCAGAGATTTCAGCTGTCTGTTTCCACAGTTAGGAACATATTGAGTAAATGGAAGATCACAGGCACAGTTCATGTTAAGGCTCCAAGTGGCAGACCAAGAAACATCTCAGACAAACAGAAGTGAAGAATGGTGAGAACGGTCAGTCACCCACAGACCAGCACCAAAGACCTACAACATCATCTTGCTGCAGATGGAGTCAATGTGCATCGTTCACCTATTCGGTGCACCTTACACAAGGAGATGCTGTATGTGAGAGTGATGCAGAGGAAGCCTTTTCTCCACCCACAGCACCAACAGAGCTGCTTGACGTTTGCTAAAGCACATCTGGACGAGCTAGCTTCATTCTGGAATAAGGTGCTGTGGACTGAAGAAACCAAACTGAGATATTTGGGCAGAACAAGGGGCGTTATGCATGGAGGAGTAAGAACAGCATTCCAAGAAAAACACCTGCTACCTACAATAAAACATGGTGGTGGTTCCATCATGCTGTGGGCTGTGTGGCCAGTGCAGGGACTGGGAATCTTGTTAAAGTTGAGGGACGCATGGATTCCACTCAGCATCAGCAGATGCTGGAGACCAATGTCCAGGAATCAGTGACAAAGCTGAAGCTGCACCGGGGCTGGATCTTTCTACAAGACAACGACCCTAAGCACTGCTCAGCATCTGCTAAGGCGTTCATGGAGAGGAACAAGTAGAACGTTCTGGAATGTTCTTCTCAGCACCAGACCTGAATGTTATTGAACATCTGTGGTGTGAGTTAGAGAGAGCTGTCCATGCTCAGAAGCATCAGACCTGAATGAACTAGAGATGTTTAGTAAAGGAGAATGGTCCAAAATACCTTCAAGCAGAATCCAGACTCTCATTGGAAGCTACAGGAAGAGTTTAGAGGCTGTTATTTCTGCTAAAGGAGGATCTGCTAAATATTGAATTCATTCATTTTTTGTGGTGCCCAAATTTATGCACCTGCTTAATTTAGTTTAAACAATTATTGCACACTTTCTGTAAATCCTATTGACTTTGTTTCACTTCTCAAACATCACTGTGTCTCCTATACGATATATTTAACTGAAATGTTTTATTGTACCAACCAACGATTTATACAGGAAAATCATGACGATTAACAAGGCTGCCCAAACTTCAGCATCCCTTTGTAGCTCTCTGTGGAGATTGAACCTCATCGATTCTGTTGACCAAATCCTGAAATGCGTGTGTGGTTGAAGGTAATAACCTTACAGAATATTTAGCAGTGTGTCAACAACCTTTCACTGAGGGGAAATTTCTAATAAGTCTAACTAGAGTCTGACTCAGTCTGAATAAGTACACTGCTGCTGTTGAACTCTCTGTGTAACAATGATTAAAATCTCTACTCAAGCCATTTCTTGATGCTTATCACCCTTCTGGTAAGTTTCAGGACTTTCCATTGTTCAGTTAAATCCCCTCATGGATGAAAAGGTTCAGTATTAGTCTGCACACAAAGCAGTAACTATGAGGAGAGTGTGGCGATGAACAAATCTCATGATGGATGGAAATCTCACAGCTTTAGAGAACAGAGAAACCACTAATTTACAAACTCAACTGAAACATTTTGACCAGACTTTTGAATGACTGCAGCTGAAAAGCCCCGTAGCAACACTAAACAAAGGCCGATAACAGACCAGGTAATGATCAGGGCATGTCCAACAACCCGTTTCTAAATATGTGTCCTAGCTGTTTACTAGGGCTGCAACAACGAATCGATAAATTCGATGAAAATCGATTACTAAAAGCGTTGGCAACGAATTGCGTCATCGATTCGTTGTGTCGCACAACTCTTCCAAAAGCCCCCCCCCCCCTTCCCGCCCGCCGTTGCGCGCAGACCAGAGCAAGTCAGATCAGCGCGAGGGAGAGCCGGCAGATCAGCGCGAGGGAGAGCCGCAGATCAGCGCGAGGGAGAGCCGCAGATCAGCGTGAGGGAGAGCCAGTACCGGCAGATCAGCGCGAGGGAGAGCCGGCAGACTTGAGCTGCTGCGAACCGGTTCCGCATTGTCGCGCAGCGATCCAGGCAGCTGCTTCCAGCGCACGGTCCATTCTCAAAGTGGCGCAACCAAAAAACTATAATTAGCACACGATCGTTCATGTCCGCACATGTTCTCTATTTTCTGTCTTATTTGTGCCTGAAGCTCGCTACTGCGGAGCTCATCACCTGTGCTGTGGTGATGTCACCTCACTGATGCAGCATCGAAAACGCGCTCTGCGCTTTTCGGTCAGGAGATCCCTTTGATCTGCTCAAAAGTAACTGATGAGGTGAAAAGGTAAGAATCCAGGCAACAGATTTTCTGGAGAATTATGAGGAGATGCAGGAAGATGAGAGACAGACAGGACAGGAAAATAGTTAAATAAAAACAAGAAAACAAAACAAAGTGTTGAAAAGTCAAATGTAGGTAGATTTATCTCCACGACACGTTTTTACCAGTAAAAAACAATAAGTTATACACATGTCATATTTATACATCTGATACAATTCAGATCACCTTCAAAACTCAGTCACACACCCAGGGCCGTTTCAAGACATTTTGGGGGCCAAGGCAAAATGCCCCCCCCCCCCCCCCCCCATAACTGGGCTCCCCAGAAGCCTCTGTGTAATTCATGCCCTCTCCAGGAGTATTAGTTATACAGTGTTTATAAAAGCCCCTCAGACATTACTGACATGTTCTAATATTATCAGATGAAAAACTTAATTATCAGACATGCTGTCTCATCTGCTTCTTTTAAAAACTTGCAAAAAGTAACAAAACCATTTGAAAGCCACTATTTGTGGATTCTCTGAAAGTTTCCATGGAGTGTGTGACAACTTATTTTTTCATTGATCCTATCATCTAATCTCACAGCTGAAACAAGCATCCTTAATAATCTGTGCACAGGAAGCTTACCGATGCTGTAGTAAAACAAAAGGTATAATAATTTATTATTAATAAAACCTTGTTGCAGCACTAAAGCAGAAAAATTAGATTTTGCATTAAATATGCAAAATATTTACATATGAATTGTTTTAGAGCCCTTTTATTGGCAGAATCTGATATTAATTTAGTTCTTACAAAAAATGGGTCCCAACATGGTTTGTGTGGCGTTGCCATAGTGTGACGTCATAGGCACAGATCCCCTGTCCTCTTGCTTGGAAATGGAAATATGATCACCCTATATTAAACAAACTGTCCACCCGGGCTTTTGCGCTGCACAGAGACGCTTCGCTGCCTACGACTGAATGTCAGTTGAGAGTCAGTCTCATGCAGACTGACCAATGAAGAGAGGGCCTCAAGTTAAGACCCTCTCCTCATTGGTCAGTCCACACGAGGTGGGTCAAAGGTTACTCTGGGCGGGTTACGTGTTGTCAGGCATTCAAGTATTGAGTATATTTACTGCATATTACAGTAAAATATTCTGTATGTGACCATATTATGGTGATCCTTGGGTCGTGATGATGGAGCCCTTGAATATTGTTGCCCAGGGTACAACAAAGTGTTAATCTGGCCCTGGTTCCGCCGTCACATTCCCGCAGAAACTGGTTGATCACACCGGGGCCAGACTACTAGCATGTGGTTTTACAACCACAATGTCCTCAGAAGCAAAAACGCTTTTAAAAGGGAGGGAGGAGTCCTAACTGTTGCTGCAGGCGTGTTGTGTGAGAGTGCAGTTATATACTGGTTAATATATTTTTGGGTTCAGTTGCTTTCATGTGGCCTAATGTGAGTCTATTTGGAATCATTGGAATGATCAGCAGCATTTCTTGATGTGACTTTATGGCAGTTGCCCAGGGCATCATCGCAAGGAGGATGGCATTCATTTACTTTTGTTTTATTTGGTATTTTTTCAGTCAGTTTTGGAAATAGTGATCAATTTTGATTAATTCACAGCCTATGTTTAATTACATTTAAAATAAATATTAACAGATGAGATCAAACAAAACAGATGAGAATTGCCCTTAAGCTGTTTAACTTGGACCAAGCATTTTAGATCACAGATAGATGTAGCTTAGGGTCTCTGTCTATACACCTTATAAGACAATTTAGGTGATGGCATGTTGTTTTTCTGCTATTGAACTGTTTTCTAATAATGTTGTGTTAAATAAAGTGAAGGAAGGAGAGAAATAACGTTTCCCTAGCAGTTTTTAAAAATTTCCCCATGTAATCCGATTAATCGATTAATCGTGTCGAGACCCCATCCGATTAATCAATTATCCAAATAATCGTTTGTTGCAGCCCTACTGTTTACACAGGGCCTTGTGTTGGGAAAGGAAAAGGATTTTAGGAAAGAAAGGTCACAGAATCACATGGAAATGTTTTCCTGTTAAATACGGGCTATAATCCGCTCAGCTGGGATTATTTACCAAATCTTTTCTGTCAGATAAATCTCTCAGTGATGTGTTTGTGTGGGTGTGTTTGTGCAGTTTGAGTAATCTGATACAACTAAAGCACACCATCACATATAAATTATTACACATTTGTAAACAACTCCTCAGCGTTCTGAGCAGAAGGTTTGTGTTTACCGTCTGGCCTGGCTGCACTCCTGAGCAGCTTTGGTCCTTTCTGGTGGATCCTTGGGGGCAAATAGGAGAGACGGACACCCAGAACCTGCTGAGTGCCAAGTCCTCCACTGACACCGACACTGCAACCTCTGACAGCAACCTCTGAGGAGAACAAGGGCAAAATCAGATCAACTAGAAGGAGGAACTTAGAGTTTGTTCCCAGATGCTACTGACTGAACCACAATAAGTCTTTCTTTCATTTGCTTTCACTTTCTTTCTTCTTGACCTACAAGAGGATTTATGGGGAACGAGGAGGCGGGGATAAAAATAGCATCTTTGTGTTCATCCCCAGATCAGGACTCATGGTTTTCCGTAAGGATCTGATGGGCGTTATAATAGTAGCTTCTGTTTAGCCTCCGCAGCTTGTGTGTGTGTGTGTGTGTGTGTGTGTGTGTGTGTGTGTGTGTGTGTGTGTGTGTGTGTGTGTGTGTGTGTGTGTAGCTGTACGCCCAGATCTGTGGATTCGGCAGATTCTTGGGGGAAACAATAGAGCACTGTGCCGCAGGCCAGATTACAGCTTAGTCCAGGCCGGACTAACTCGTAGTTTCACACAAACAGACACTTGTAGAAAAACCCCATCCTGCTGTAACCTCTACTTCTAAGATCTCTGTTTACCATTTGTTTGTCAGCTAGTCCAGCTATGACCACAAACTTCCTTCAGGCTGAATTACTACATTCAGAACCTTCAATTGCAAAGCATAAACGTTGTGTTACAAAGTAAAGCATCATCTATGGTAACAAACATTCTATTCAACATAAATGATGCTTCATGTTAAAAACTGACATGCTTTTTAAGGCAGGGATGAATGGAGGATATGTAGTGTCGCAATTCACACTTTAACAGCAATAATTTGTCTGCTGTATTTTTAATACATTTGTAGGGGTCTCTTATTGCAGCGAATGCCATGTAAGTCATTCTCTGGGGAAAAAACACTCTGGAGCGTCAGTTTGAGGGCATAGAAGCCAGCTGAAGGAGAAAATAGCCTCAGACGACAGGATTTGGAGTCCTATGTCCTGATATTTGGACATCTCACCTCTGATTGGATAACAGCAACGGAACTCTACCACTGACTAACATTTATGTTTTATCTCCACAAATAACACAAGCCTGGAGGAGTTCTGCCAGGTGACGTTCTCTGCTGTTTCCTGAATGCTAAACCAACAATAACGTTCCTGGGCGTAAGTCAAGATCAGTGTTGGGAGTAAGGCGGTACAAAAGTAATTAATTACTATAATGCATTGCTTTTTGCTGTAATGTGGTAATGTAAGGCATTACAGGGAAAGAAAATGGTAATATTTACTCGGTACAATTGTCAGTAACACGGTAATTACAATGCATTTTTAAACCCAGAATCAAGATGTGGGTTTCCTAAAAATTCTAATTGCAGGAAGCCTGTAAAAAAATCCAGTATCCACATATATGACGTAATTTATGGACTCAGCTTTGCGGGCATTCTATGAGCAGAGAGGATGCAGCGGTAATGGCTCAAATACTCCAGCTACGTCCTGCGCGCGGCCGCTGTTATATTCACAAAATCACTCCACCAAAACAAAGTAATTCGTTTGCGATCGTTTATATCAGCTCATATTCTCTGGTACTTCATGTACTTTTCAGCTGAGTTCATAATCTGTGCCCTGGTGATATCAACTCATTGCTGCTGGAGCGCAGCGCATATGAAGTTTTTTGATTTATTTATTTTTGTTTACGTTCGGTAGATCCCTTTGGCTGATTAGTTAGAAAGTAGAAAATCTAGGAAACAGTTTCTTCTGGAAGATGGAGAAAACATGCAGCATGCAGGAAGGTTAGAGAGAGAAAGGGCAGGAAATTATTCAAATAAAATCAAGAAAACAAAACAAAGTGCTTGAAAAGAAAAAAGTAGGTAGATTTATCCCCAATACTCATTTTTACCAGTGAAAAGCAATAATATATAAGCATTTAATATTTATACATGTGATAGAATCAGATCACCCCAGAAGTCAGTCCCACATCCAGGGCCGTATCAAGGCATTTGGGGACCAAGGCAAATATAGGCTTAGAGCCCCCACCACCTCACTCCCTGCTCAGTTAATTTAAGATGGCGGCGTGCTGAGAGTACAGATTGTTGTTGCTTTTATTTAATAAACAATCATTTTAAAGCACTGTTATTATATCTGACTGATTTTAGCAGCAATCCTAGCTCAGACACCACATCACCTTCCACATATATGTCATGAGCTCACTGAGCGTCACATTACCAGATTCATACTGAAGTTGTTTTGGTGAAAGTAACTTAGAGTAATGCAAAAGTAGTGTAATGCCTTACATTTTAAAATCAGTAATATTGTAATGTAATGAATTACTTTAAAATGAGGGTAACAAGTAATAAATAATGCATCACAGTTTTGAAGTAACTTGCCCAACACTGGTCAAGATTCATGAGTCCATGAATGCTAAAGTTACTGGCCAGAGGCAAATTTCCTCTGAATGAGAAGTGTAAAAATAATTAAAACACCAACTGAAAGAAGCAGCTGGATTTTGAGAAAATCGAATGTTTTTAAAGAGCACAGGAAAAAATAAAGATATTTTCCTGTCTAAACACTATGTAGCTGCTTACGCAATACTAGGTCAGCCTTCAGGAAGCTAATGTAAACAATCCGCTGCTCTGGTTTTTCTGAGTTAGCATAATAGCTTCATCAGTCAAATGCAGTTTCTGAAACCCCTGCTAGTCAGTCTGATTCTTTCCCCCTGGAATACAACGAGGAGAATGGATATCAGAGAGCTAGCTCAACAGCCTGTTTGACCAGATAAACCACTCTAGGTTGTCACTGCAGATCTGAAAGCAGCTAGTGTTGTCATCCAGCTCGCTAAGGTCCTCCTCACAGTTTCCACGACTTTAATGTAGCTACACTAGTTAGAAATGCATGTAGGGCTAGGACATACGGCTCAGACTTCCTACTGCGGCTGTATACACATTTATCCATAACCATTGAGACCACAACATTGAACAAATTGCAGCTAATCGCAAAGTAGCACCAGTAGCTAAGCCCTAGTAAGATGTCTTTGAGTGACCAGTGTGAAACACAATTTTTCCCTGAGGACATTCAGAAAGACTAACGTGTTTACATGTAGTTTAAAAAACAGATGTCAGTCTATTTAGGGGTAAGGTCGGTTTTCTGATTTGCATGCAAACGCAGTGATTGTGATGTAGATCTGCCAGTTTTTTTTTTAACTGAGCATTTTCGCGTCTATTTTCTATCACAAGCTAACAAGTGAAGCTGGGGAAGGATGTCTTGGATCTGCGGACCATTAACATTGGTTCCCCTCAGGGATGTGTTCTCTCCCCTCTACTCTTCTCCCTGCACACTAGGGGTATTCAATTCTGGGCTTGGACGGCCCAAATCCAGCACAATTTAGTATTAACTCACCCGACACCTGACTTCAATCAGAAGGTGATTAACAGGCTTCTGCCGAGCCTGATGAGATGCTGCACAGATGATTCAACCACTAAACCAAGCGTGATGGAGCAGAGGAACCTCTAAAATTTGCTGGATACCGGCCCTCCAGGCCTGGCATTGAATTCCCCTGCTGTACACTAACAGCTTCGCCTCCAACCACAAGTCTGTCAAGCTTATCAAGTTTGAAGACGACACCACTGTCATCGGACTCATCTCGGACGGGGATGAGTCTGCCTACAGATTGGAGGTCTAACTGGCCAACACATTCTCACACCCAAGGCGTCAAAATATGATGCGTGTGACCAAGCGTCAATATATGACGATTCGGGACGCCCCAGCGCGTCAGGAGACGATGTTCAGGGACGCGCTGGATCAGCTGGCTCCACTGGCGTCACCGTTTGATGTGCGTGGTCACATGAACATTACTCGACTAGTTAACCTTCCCCTCACCCCAATCCTAACCTTGAGGTCCATAAACTGTGACCTTAAGGTTAGGATTGGGGTGAGGGGAAGGTTAAGTAGTTCACAAGTAGTTATAATGTCCGTCTCACCACCGGCGTCGGATACTGACGCTCTGGGACGCTGCTTCAGCTGTTTGTCCCTGATCGTCATCTCCTGACGTGCTGGGGCGTCCCGAATTGTCATATATTGAGGCTTGGTCACGCGTCACATTTTGACGCCTTGGGTGTGAGAATGTGTTGAACTGGCTGGTGTCCTGGTGCAGCCACAACAAATGGTAAAATAGTAAATGGCCTGTATTTGATATAGCACCTTCTACAGTAAAGTCCTGGAACCCCCAAGGCGCTTCACAACACAATCAGTCATTCACCCACACACACACACACATTCATACGCTGGTGGGGATGAGCTACAGCTGCCCTGGGGCGCTGTGTCAGAGGCGAGGCTGCCGTACACAGGCATCACCGTTCCCTCAGACCACCACCAGCAGGCAAGAGGGGTTAAGTGTCTTGCCCAAGGACACAATGACAGTAACAAACTGAGAAGGGCTGGAACCTTCAACCTTCTGATTATGGGGTGAGCACTTAACTCCTGTGCCACCATCGCCCCAAACAACCTGGTGCTAAACATCTAAAAGACGATGGAGATTTTTGTGGAGCTTAGGAAGCACACAGCCCCACTTTCCCCCATAACCCTGTCTGACACTCCCATCACGATGGTGGACTCATGTCGCTCCCTGGGCACCACCAACACCCAGGGCCACACGTGTGAGCCAACCATCACCTCTGTCATAAAAAGGCCCATCAGAGGATGTACTTCCCAAGGCAGCTGATGAAATTCAACCTATCTGCACAGTCGAGGAGGCAGTTCTACACCGCAGTCAACGAGTCCAACCTCACCTCTTCAATCACTGTGTGGTATGCTGGAGCTACCGCCAGGGACAAGAAGAGACTGCAGCATGTTGTACGTTCTGCTGAGAAGGTCATTGGCTAGAAATTCCCCTCCATACAGGACCTGTACACCTCCAGGACATTGAAGCGTGCAGGTCGGATAACAGCTGACCCGTGTCAGCCTGGTCACAGTCTTTTTGACATAATTTTATCTGGCAGGAAGTTCTGATCCATTCAGACTGGAACCTGTTCCCATAGAAACAGTTTCTTCCCCTCTAGAACATCATTGACCGACTGCCCACTCCAGTGCTTTGTTCTAGTCACCTGACCATGTGTTGTGTTTGCACCTGCACTGTTCTGCTCTGATCTACAGTACCTACACTGTCTTTTATATATTAGCCGTTCCTCTAATTATTGCCCTCTTATATTATATTTTATTATGCTTATTTCTTATTTTTGCTTATCTCATATTTTTGCAAGTACTGCAGCAATTTCCTAATGTTGTGATTTCTCACACATGTGGCAGTCAGACCCTCCTGGTTCTGATAATGCAGGAAATAAGTGTAGGATGCAATATTCATGCTCAGCCTGCACGTTTAACTCAGAGTGGCTAATCATATCGCCTCTTTGAAGGTTTAACTGCTCGGTGTCTGGTTCTGTTGGTTTTTTCCTTTCAGCTGCACACCTTCCCTCCGCTTAGCACCCAGGCTACTTGTTCAACAGCAACCTTGGGTCCTGCAAATACCTACACCTTACCAATGCTTCCACATTTAAGAGCTACATTCATATCGCCACATACAGGCAATGCAGCTTCATTCTATAACACATTAAATACACAGAGGAAATAAAACAGTTGTTGTTAAAACATTAATTACACAAATAAAATTTGATCTAAAAAGGAAAGGACAAGGTCAAAAGTAGCAGTTATCGTGCAGAAAGTACAGCATGAGGAGCAACTTAGCTGAAACATTTTGATGAATAATACATATGACTCTGGTCCGAGTCTTTGTTGAGAGAATGAAAACAAAGACAAAGCACTCTTAAAGGTTGGGGACTTTACCTTGTATGCATCCACCACCAGATCTATAAGGTTTGGAGCCTGGAAGATACCCAACTTTCCCAAGTAGGACCCAGGAAGCAGCTGGACAAGTTCCTAGAGATAGAGATGTCAGTATAATAATAATAATAATAATAATAATAATAATAATAATAATAATAACAACAAAATGGCCTGAATTTGATATAGCGCCTTCTAGAGTCCTGGAACCCCCCAAGGTGCTTTACAACACAATCAGTCATTACCCCCTTTCACACACACATTCACACACTGGTGGGGATGAGCTACGATGTAGCCGCAGCTGCCCTGGGGCGCACTGACAGAGGTGAGGCTGTCGAGCACAGGCGCCACCGGTCCCTCTGACCACCACCAGCAGGCAACGTGGGTTAAGTGTCTTGGCCAAGGACACAACGACAGCGACAGACTGAGCGGGGCTCGAACCTGCAACCTTCCGATTACGGGGCGAGCACTTAACTCCTGTGCCACCGTCGCCCCATAATAATAATAATAATAATAATAATAATAATAATAATTATAATAATAATAACAAAATCTCTGTATATGACATCTGATGCAGATCAGACCAGTGTTGTTACTCAGATTACCTCATACCACTGATACTGCTGCTTCTCCACTGCAAAGACTGAGTGAATGTTGTTTTCTAGTAGCTTGTCAGACAGCTGGCCCAAACTGGGATGGTCCTGTTAAGGTGACAAAACCTTTAAGTAAGATACAATTTTTCTCCTTGTGATCTTCATGGAGAATCACCAGTTTGAGCTAGCTGACCATCCTGGTGCTTCCAGTGTAGACGTTGTTCTCCAGGTGACACTGGCCATCGTGTGGGACAACGATCCCCCCTAGTCTGCTGTCCAGGGCGAGGTGAGATGGCTGGTCGGTCATCAGGAGCAACAGACGCTTCGCCTCTGGCCGCCATCCCACCGCATTCTGACCAGGATACAGATAAAAGGCCGTGATGTCATTGATGCGTTTGGCATTTACAAATTTTAACTTGCAAATCATTTAGACAGAATTTTTTATTTAAAAAGTGAAATGTACTTACCCTTTCAAAATATAAACTTTAATTTAATGTCTGCTCTCATTCACTCATTTTTACAACACATTTGCCGTGCTCTCAAGTATAAATGAGTGCCTATAGAGTCCATCTCTGTAGGTAAAAGCTCTGGCGCTCCTGTTTCAGGAAGTAGAAGTTAACCAGAGCAGAGGTGAGCAGAAAACAGCAGGATTATGACTCTTACTCATTAATATTCGTAATATTTGGAAATCTGGACAACAGCATCATGACTCTACCACTGACTCTGCTCTGGATAGCTTCTACTGCTCAAGACGTGTTCTGCTGTTTCCTGGATGCTAAACCAACAACAGCATCTCCAGGCACGAGCAAAGGTGGTTGAGATCCCGAAGGTTAATTTTCAATGTAATGCAGATCTGAGCGTTTTTTCTAATCCGAGCGTTTCTTCATCTATTTTCCACCAGCAGCTCATGCAGGATATAGGGGTAGAAGACTATGTTCGCAGTTAGCCTGTGGTGAAACTCAAGTGACCGATCTTATCTAAAAAATAACAAGTAAAAACTGTTTCTCAATGAAGCTGATCTTTAAAACCACACTTTGGGTATAGATTAGCATGGTGATATGAATGATGGTGTGGGAAGATATTAACAGAAGTTACAGAAAGCTTAAACTCTAGTCTTTAGGACACAATGTGCATTGTGTTAGTGGATTTTTATTTGTTTGGAAGCTGGGTTGCATTAATACCAAACACCACCACAAATGTGTTTCTCCAATCCCCCCATTGTTAATCCCATAAATCTCTGCTTATCGACGTTCAAGACCACTGATGTGGGAACGCTGCATGTTTCGTATTTTCAGGATTTACAAGTGTGGTGAAAGAAAGACGCACACTCAGACATTTTATTCATCTGAACTGCATTAGTTTCCAGGATGATCGGGTCTTTCAGTAACCCAAATGATAAGAAAAGCTGCAGAAATTCCACTATCAGCCATGAGACTCCTGGATGTCTGTGAATCATCTTAGACAGTGTGAGAAAATGGAACTGTGTGTGTGTGTGTGTGTGTGTGTGTGTGTGTGTGTGTGTGTGTGTGTGTGTGTGTGTGTGCATACTACATACTGAGGACCATTTTGACCATTTTCCCTACAAAGTGAGGACATTTTTTGGTCCTACCTTTTTTTTTAGAAACAGAAGCTTACTATACCAGTTAGAGGTATAGTGTGAATTAAGTTTTAGTTAAGGTCAAGGTTAGGAATAGATCAGCGTTGGTTATGGTTAGGGTTGGGGTATGGGTTAGGCATGGTAAAATCACAAAAATGAATGGAAGTCCATAGAGGGTCCTCACTATGATAGAAAGACAGGCGTGTGTGTGTGTGTGTGTGTGTGTGTGTGTGTGTGTGTGTGTTTGTGTGTGCGTGCGTGCGTGTGTGTGTGTGTGTGTGCGTGCGTGCGTGTGTGTGTGTGTGCGTGTTTCTTGTTTGCACACAATAGTGATCCCACTTCCGGACCACGGGTCCCCGGAAGAATAAAAATGAATGCAAGTCAAAGGGGCTAAAAACTCTATTTTCCAATTCCGCTTGTTTTGTGCCATGAATTTCACATATGATGTCCGTGAATTTGAAAGACACATTTTGATACCAAGAACGCGCTTATTTTCGAGCAGGGGGTAACAATATTTTAGGTTTTATGTGAAAATAAGTCCAGAACTACAAATGTGCTTCACGGAAGTGACATCATCGAACCAGACACGGAGGAAACTGAGGGAAAATGGCTGTAGGTTCAGCAAACTTCCCACAGCAGGAAAGAACCACCATAAATATGGCCATGTGGTAAGTAGCAGCTACGCTAGGGGAGAGGAGATTATGTGGTGACGTCACATATGCGATGTGCCGATTTCTAGTGTGTAGTCACGCTAATTACGAACTTTTACAAGCTAATAAATCTCAGTACATTTCATTTAAATTGCAGTACAACATATGTGTGATCCAGGGCGAAAGGCAAAGCGGGTTAGAAAATAGCGTTTTTAGCCCCGTTGACTTTTTTTCGTTCTTCTGGGGACCCATGATGCTGGTGGTCATAATGTTTTACATTTAACACACCAGTGTTCAACTGGTTCTTATAAATGTCAACTCAAGAAGGTCTGTGTGAGTCATTTGAAAGCAAAGCATTGTTTAAAATGTAGTTTTCTTTTACACAGGTGTAGTTTTGTACGTTGTGAGTTGTGTGCAGAGTTCTTTCCTTCGGAAGACGTGTGTAAACAGTTGGGAAAAACTGCAATAAAGAGGATTGCAGTGTGAGCGTGCTCTGCTGAGTCAGAGTGCTTCTACTGCCTCAGAGCCAGCACCACGCAGACAGATGCTTACCTGACAGACGGCAGCTTGCAGCATGGCGTCTAGGCCTCCCTCAGGTGTGTCCATGTTCCCAGAGATGCGTTGGCGTTTGATCACACGCGTAAACTCGCTCATGTTGCCTGTCATGCTGAGGACGTGATGGAAACCGTGGGCCGGACGGCAGCGGATCTCGTAATCGCTGGCCAGAGCAACAAATCAGACTCAGGGTCAGGTTCAAGTCTCGCAACAACGACACTTCACGGTGAAAGCTGTTCCAACAATTCACGATTCACACACTTAGGTCATCTCCATAAAATCTGACTCGGTCTTCATTTACAATAGAAAAACGTCCACAAAGTACTTTCCATCCAATCCAGAGCTGATTATATCTAAATCCGGATGTGAGTCTTACACACTTGTTTGGGTTGTGAACAATACTAGGAATCCCACCTGGGAGAAAAAGAAGAGAAACTCCTTTTGACTCCTTTCCTCTCCTCTGTTTTTACCAGCTGAGAGTTTTGCTGCTTTATGTATTTTGTTAAAGAAAGTCTTTCAGTCTAACCGTCTGCCTCTGCAGAAATGATGGCAGCAGGATAAGAGTCTCGTATGGGGGGATTAGTGAAGGATGAGCAGATAAAAAACAGTTTTGGGCTGAGCAAAAACCTGAGATATGGAACAAAAGGGACATTACACTAAAGTCCACTGACATATTTTATTTTATATTGTGGGGTTCTGCTTTAGTGAATACGTTTATTTAATTTAATTAAATCATCCGTGCCTTTGTGTCATCACGCTTAGACTACTGTAACGCTCTTTTTACTGGTCTCAGCAAAACCTCCCTCTCACGCCTTCAAGCCATCCAAAATGCAGCAGCCAGACTCCTAACCAAATCCAGCAGACGAGCTCACATCACTCCAGTTTTACAGTCCCTCCACTGGCTCCCGGTAGAATATAGAATACAGTTTTAAAGTTTTAGTCCTGACCTATAGAGCTCTTAACAACCAGGCTCCAAGCTACCTATCTGAGCTTTTATCCCCACACACCACCTCTCGGAACCTTAGATCCACATCTGAAAACCTCCTGGCTGTTCCTTGAACCAGACTAAAAACCAAAGGGGACAGGGCCTTTCAGTCTATTGCCCCCAGACTTTGGAACAGTCTACCTTCAAATCTCCGTCTCTTGAAATCTGTAGAGGTCTTCAAAAACATCTTAAAAGCCTAACCCTTTTCGTCCAGGCTTTCCCCCGCTAAATATTCTAAAAGATGGCTTTGTTCTTGTTCACACCTTGACTTTGTTTTTACTCCTGATTTTGGTTACTATTGTTGTCACTGCTATTGTTTTTATGATGTTTTTATTGGTTTGAGGTATTTGCCCTGATTTCACTCATGTTGTACAGCGCTTTGTGATTTATATCAGTGAAAGACGCTTTATAAATAAACTTTACTTACTTACTTACTAGTGTGAGAATTGTTATAAAGGGTTTTCATTAGTTCATCTTGAGAAAAACATTCGTTGTGGCTTTCTATGTCCAAAAATTCTAGTGAAGACGTTAAAAAAAGAACATTATCTAAGGAATGCAACAGATCTGCTCTATTTATAGCAACAAGACCAACAGAATATGTTGCAAACTGAGGGACTGTGGCACTTTCTCAGAGCAGAAAATCCTCACCTGCAGGGGTTGTTGATCTTAGAAGGATGGACGCTGATGTAAGGGGAGACGGGTTTGTCAACAAACGAGCCGAAACCCAGCCAGAGGTCTGAGGTATGCTCCGTCATACGAAGAGACAGCGCCACGCCGACCGTCTTCAGCTGCACCGTAGACAGACATCAAAGAGAATCAGAAGAGGGCGAGACAGGAAAAGGAGTGTCTAGCACCAGAATCGAAACACCGACATGATTGAGGTTTTCCTGCATAGAGGCTGATACGTCCACCAGGTAGTACAGATCCAAAGGATAGCGCTGCAGCTGCTTCACCGCTACCATGAAACTGGCTTGAGACCCTGAACACACGGATGACATTCGGGTATAACCTTGTTTTTATTAGGTGTAAATGAAAGATGTGGAGTAGTACGGTGGTCTACCAGGTCTCAGGGTGATACTGATGCCTCGTGGTGACACCTGCGTGCCACTGAGTGTAGCGTTGATCTCCACCTTGACCTCAGACTGCTCTATGAACTCTGACCCGCAGCCTCTCCTGCGTAGGTTTTCTGGCAGGTCACAGCGACGGCTGGGCTCAGAACCGTACAGGAAGTCCTGAGGGACAAACACAGGTCAGCCTCTTTATTTAACAATATTCTAGACTGTAAATTGTTGAGCAAATTCTTTTTATTCCTCAACAATCTCAAGAAACACAAATGAAGTCAGACACAACCTGTAAATCTGTTCCTAATGTCGGCCCATTGCTGCTGTAATCTTTCTATTTATACCACAGTCACTGCTCCTCAAGTGTGCACTTGTCTTTTTTATGCTTAAGTGGACATATTTTAACTTTGAAGCTGTAGTGGGTGGACATCTGGCTGGTCCATACAACGACAAAATACCCTAAAATGTGGTTTTAGAGGTGTGATGTTTAACTTTTGGTTTAGATTAGGGTTAAAAATAGAACAGCGTTGGTTATGGGTAGGGTTAGGGTATGGGTTAGGCATAGTGGAGTCACTCAAATTAAAGGAAGTCAACGGAGTGTCGACACAAGGATACAAATACAAGTGTGTGTGTGTGTGTGTGTGTGTGTGTGTGTGTGTGTGTGTGTGTGTGTGTGTGTGTGTGTGTGTTTCTTTGTTTCTTGTGTCCAGCAAACATGCCTGTTTGGGTCCCCGTGTGTGATCTCTCTGGGCATAAATCTGGCCTACGAAGGGTTGCCAACAGTGGGACCCACAGCCATCGTGAAATGTAGGGTACAATTATTTGGGGCCATGTAGGGGCCCAACAGGGCACGGCCCACACATGTGGGCTTCCCGCTATGGCCCCACTGTGGCCCTTTGCTGTGGGGCCCTCGTGTGCGCCTCATTTCTCGGTGGAACCCTGGCATGGCTGGGCTTTCCATCATTTACGTAGCAGTTTTCATCCGACCCAAAGCGTTTTCTCTTACCTGAGCTGCCGCTGCCCCACCATTACAAACACCAAATATTACAATAGCTCTAAAACCTTATTTAGAGAACTTGTGTCATGTAAGTTACATTTCTGTTTTCTTAAAGATCTGTTGATTCCCCTGAATTCCCCACATGGGCTAACACTCACGGGGCCACTGTGGGTAGTTTTAGGGCAGATCCCAATGTGGGGTGCCCACAGAAATAATCACAGGTATCTACTGGGCTGATCCAGGGCACCCCACAAGGGATGGATTTGGGCTGATGCACCTGTGGGTTGCACTTAGCTAAATCTAACTCTACCCTAACCCTTGACTACATCTAAAGGGGGCTCACGTAGGAAAACAAATATGGGCCCCATTCATGCAAACATACACAAGATCCTTGTGGCTGAACTCTAGGGTAAGTGTGGGTTTGTCCTGCCCACAGAAGCTCATGGTGGGCCCAAACGGGCATGTTCGCTGGGTCTGTGTGTGTGTGTATGACTATATGTGTGTGTGTTTTATTGGTTACCCAGCTTTCCAGCTCAGTTTCAGGACTGATATTCAGAAACACTTTTTGTCACCACCCAGGAAGCACAACAAACTTAAACCTCATTAGTCATTTTCTACAGAACTCGGGCACAAAAACCACACAGGCGTCATGCACTCCACAACCATGACTGACGCTGAGCTGAGCCTGAAAACCAGACTCTGTATACTCTTTGATATCCTCACAAAAACAACTGGCCTAACATTTAACACCAAAAAGTTTAAGACTGGCTACTTCCCGGGACTTTCCTTCACAAGACCTGGGAGTTCAGCGTGTCACGTGGGCACATGTTTACATGAATACAGTTACAGATGTGTTTTCAGAGCTCGTTCAGGCGTGGACGTGTGTGTGTAGAGGTTACAAGGGTGATGTTTGAAGGCCCTCACACACACACATACACATACACACACACACACGTAGACCCAACCCAAAGATGATGTCAGAGAAGTTTAGGGTTCAACAGGGTGGGAAAGCACCTGAAGTCTAAAAAACACTTTCAATCAGTGTGATGTCACTCTCTCTGTGTGTGTGTGTGTGTGTGTGTGTGTGTGTGTGTGTGTGTGTGTGTGTGTGTGTGTGGTGTGGCACTGATAGACCGAAGCTTCTCAAGGCCAAATCAGGGTGGGCTCTTCACAGGACAGCAAGACATGCAAGACAGATAAAGACAAACACACGGGCTGATGCAGAAAGACGGAGAGACTAAACACAAAGACAGAAAGTGTCTTCATCTGAGAAAACACACACCGACGTTTTCACACACACAGATCACATAATGCACACCACTCAGCCCAAACATACACATTCGATCCTTGTTTGCGAATGCCATGAAAGCATTGGTGCGTGTCATCTGAGGAATGCACTTGAGTCTGCCACGTTCCTACTGTTTGCTTTATTTCCCTTTTGCCTGGCTCACACACACACACACACACACACACACACACACACACACACACACACACACACACACACACACACACACACACACACACACACCTTCTGGAAGCACCAGGCGCACTGAGGTCCACGGCAGAGGCAGTCTGTGCATGAGGCAACACCGGGCGACTGACACACACCAGCTCCTAACAACAATCACAGAAAAAAGGATAAAAAAGAGTGTCTGATTAGCATATGAACGAGTGTGTGTGTCAACATGCATTAGCCATGCGGTGCAGCTTCTGATGACGTTTAAATCTGGTTTACCCCTCGATGATGGAAGCACCGCTCAGCATCTCATAGGTCACATCCAGCACATACTGGTGAGTGTGGGAACAGGTGCTTGAAATGTTGGAATGGATGCGTGGAGTACCTCAAACTTTTATTTAAACTGAAACTTTTAAAAACACACACACCAAGGATGTGAGAAAGGGTCTAATGTGCACCTTGGGCTTCCTGTAGTAGGATTAATGATTTACTGAAGTAATTTATCTGCTAAATCCAATTTTCCAGAGTACTCTCGGTGATTTATGGAGCTGGAATGTAGGCCAGAGAAAGCATGCAGGTCTGAGCCTCATTAACAGACCCATTATCAGGCAGCTCTGACCCAATTAGCACTCTGACCTCTAGTAACCCATCAGATAGGTGATGGGTGGAGGTTTTAATGCAATACGGCGGTTAGAGGAGAGCTTGGTTTGCTGATGGTCGGAGATGTTCCTGCAGACTTTAGCAGATCAGGTTGATTCAGGCTGATAATTGATCAGAGTTCAATTTGGGGGTTTGAAACGTAGGTTTCACCATCCAGACCTGAACTGGGGCATCTTTCCTACTGATTATAATCTGCTGATTATAATCTGGTGCATCATATGCCAAATTATAAACGCACCTTTTTCATCCATCACATGCAGGTACAAACGCTGGAATTATTGATAACAGCTATAACATTATACATAACAGCCCATAATCACTATAGTTATTGTGGGTTGTTATGTAATTGGTCCCTAATGAGCCTTGACCCACTCACCGGTACTGGAAGCTGCAGCGCAGACTGCGAGCACCGCGCAGCAGAGCAGGACGCACAGACGAGGGTCGCTGCGGGGCGGCCGGCACGTCATCCTGTCCACGATTCAAGGAGAAGGAACCGGATCAAACTCAGATCCGTGCGTCCACGGCCGCACGAACAAAAGCCGGGACTGTCGCGTCGACATTGTCCTTCACTTAAAGAGAAATAAAGCAGAGAGAGACGTCTCTCTAACCCCGGTTACCTCCTCACATCACCGGGTCAGAGGAGTTTAGCAAAGCGCGCTGCCCGGTTGACAAGGTGAAGCCGTAGTTAGACAATTTCACACCATCCCTCCATCTGTTTTCAGGTGTGCCACCCCCCACCCTCTCCCAGGTCTCGCGCAGCTGCGTTCAGGCGACACGCTCCTCCGGTACACTGACCCAACACAAGACGCTCCAGGTTCAGGAGAATGAGCGCGTTTCAACCATTGAACAGACTCAGGCAGGCGGATGCCATAGCAACGACGCGTTTAAGTCCTGCTGTAGAGTGGAAGAGGGAGGGACAAATAGAGAGAGAGAGAGAGAGAGAGAGAGAGAGAGAGAGAGAGAGAGAGAGAGAGAGAGAGAGAGAGAGAGAGAGAGAGAGAGAGAGAGAGAGAGAGAGAGAGAGAGAGAGAGAGAGAGAGAGAGAGAGAGAGAGAGAGATGTGCGGGTCATTCCAGAAATGCGTCCTTGGATGAGGCTGCATCTGAGAACCACGAGGGCTTCTGTTGGGGTGGGAACCCAAAGCTGGATGGTGGATGGGTGATGGGGGTGCTCGGAGGTCAGTAGCGGGGTTCACAGGCTGCTGCTGCAGAGGGGGAGGAAGGGGGATCCATTGTGTAACGATTTCAATGAGAGAGTAATCTTTCCTCACCGCTGAGCTGCAGCCAGAGACTCTAAACAACTGCGCATCTGAAGAGAAAGGCTATGGGGCGCCGTTTATGAAGTATCACAATAAATACATAAAATGTATCATATTTAGGTTCAATGATGGACAAAAGTATAACATTTAAAGTTTAAATTTACACTGAAATTTTTTAGATTCAATCAAAAGTATAGGAGAAACTCCAAAACAAGTTTAACCCAAATAAAATAAGTTGATTTAAACATTTGCTGTCACACCTAAAAATAAGGAATTGCATATAAACACGTGTTAAATCTAAATTATAAAAAACATAGGCCTGCGTTAAGTTTCAGCTTATAAATATTTAAACTTAAACCTGAATATTTAGAATAAAATTAAATACATAACTTTAACTAAAACCAAAATACCTTAAAATAAATCTAAATAATCATTTAAAAAAGAAAATATTCAAGATCACTCTAACATATTAAAGGTTGACCATAGTACATGAACACCACAGCATCATCTAGTGTGTGGAGGTTAGTTGAAAACAGCCGATCGGAGCTGCGGCTGTAGGGTCGCCGGTGCCTGTTGTGGGGGCAATCCCCAAACCAGCTGGTTGACACCAACAAATAGGGATGCCGTCAAGCTTAAGAAAGAACCCTAATGGATGTGTTGGGCCTGTGGGACTCCAAAGGCAGCTGATGGTACCAGCAGGCCAAGCGGAATGTGGCCCGGGTGGTCAAAGAGGCAAAAACCCAGGTGTGGGAGCAGCAAGACTTCCCAAGGGCTTCAAGGAGATTCTGGTCCAACCCCCGGTGCCTCAAGAGGACAAAGCAGTGCCTACCAACACTGTTTATAGCGGGGATGGTGTGCTGCTGAACTCAGCTCGGGACATGGATCGGTGAGCAGAGTACTTCAAAGACCTCCTCAATCCCACCGGCACGTCTTCCAGTGACGAAGCAGACTTTAACATTTGGTTTCAAATCTGCATGTTTTATTTAGATTTTAACATCTATATGTGTCATTTTGTATATTTGGATTAGATCTTAAATAATCAGATGTATCTTTGCATGTTTTTATTTGATTCTAAATATTTACATTTATCATTGTAATGTCCATTTATGTTTGAAGAGTTATGCACTTTCCATTGTAATTTACCAAACTAATATGATGACAAAGTGGCTAAAATGGTCGTATTTTATAATTATTGTTTAGAAGAGCTTGTGTTGCTTTACTATCAGCGCCTCATAGGGACATAGCTAATCCATTTCTTAGCACGATCCTGGTTGCCTCATTTAAAAGTCTGCCAAATAAAACAGACATGCTCTGCTTAAGCCCGAGCTGTGATGACGTGCCAGCAGCGGGAGAACCTTTATCTACTGAGTTTGACCCCGTCTGGCTCTCTGGATACTGGACCCGAGCCAAATGTGCCTCTCCTTTCATTAATTCATTCATTCATCAAATGAGGATTTGATGTTTTCAAAGCAGGAGAGCCAAACACTCATTCCATCCCCTGCTTTAGCAGTCACTCTTAATTATGATAATGATGAAAACACACACCATGCTCTTTGATAGGTGTGTGTGAAACTCCTTACTCTTGTGCGCTAACAGGGGGAGGGTGTGTGTGTGTGAGGGATGAAATATGGATGTTCTCTTTGCCGAGCAAACTTGATAATGGACTCCAGTGTAAGCACATGTCAGTGCTGGCCAACATCAACATCTTAATGACAACTGTCTGTGAGGTGAAGCTGACACGAATCACTCCGCCCCCACCTTTCCAACCTCATCCCTTGTCTCTTGTGTCATTCTGCTCAGCCTCCGGTGTGTTTGCGTTAGCAGTCGGCTGGGCTTTCCATCACGCTGGTCTGCTCTCATCAATTTTCAACACACACACACACACACACACACACACACACACACACACACACACACACACACACACACACACACACACACACACACACACACACACACACACACACACACACACACACACACACACACAACATTAAACAATCTCCCTCACTCTCCATTCAGCCTCCTTTTCTTATTATGAGCTGATGTGAAATAAAGGTCAAAGGTCAGGTAGGGCCAACTGAGGAGATGCAGCCTAAAGCCGGGCGTACACTGTGCGACTTTTTCACTTTTTTGAGCCGATTTTCCACTCGTGCGATAATCCAAGAGATCGGGGTGAGTTTTGCGCCGAGCGGTCGTGTAGTGTACAGGGGGTTACGAGAGGCGATTAACACCACGTGACCAGCCGCCGATCAGCAGTCGTGTGGTCGCACGGACTTCTGGAGTGTTTGATATTTTGCTCGTCCCTCGTGAGGGTATCGCACTGTTGAAGCGGCGCAGCGAGCAGCTACGATCCAAAAAGTATCAGAACCGCTCACGGCGCATGCGCAATCCTGCATCAACGCCGCTCACCCGATATTTCCCTAATAACACACGCTGTTCGTTTTTATTTCTACACGTTTTTTTTACTCACAAAGATTGTCAAGAAAGCGTGTTTGTTGTGTTCATGTCAAATTAAACTGATCATAAAACCCAGATTTACTTTCTTTATTTCGTTTTCCTCATCCAACCCCCATAAATCCCTGTGTGTCCTCCTGCAGCACTCCCGAAGGACAACAGGCAAGACAAGACAAAAAAGTCTGACGTGTTGAGTAAAAACTGCTATTTTTAGCATATTTTTAGGGCCGACGTGTTGCTACCAGACGTACAGTGTGAGCAGTCAGGTCGCATCCAAGAACTGGGCCGTACAGTGTGAGCACATGACTCGTGAGATCTGCCCTGCGAGGAAGTCGTACATGTGAGCTGAAGCTGAACGCTGCGAGTGAAAAAGTCGCACAGTGTACGCCCGGCTTAAGCATCACAAGAGTATCGAGTGGCCCTGACATTCAGAAGGATTTAGGTTGGGAAATTTTGTTTAGGTGTTTCTGAATGTCAGCTTTTTTTCTCTTTCCTCGTTTTTAGCTACAACATGACAAAAGTCTCTGAAAGGGAGAATCACAAACACCAACGTTTTCTTGTTTGGTGGTGTGTGCAAGGACTCAGCTCTAAATTCCCCTTCTGAAACCAGAACATCATCCCCCTCCTACTATCACCACATACAGATCTGCTGATGGGGACCTCAAATCTGTTCTGTCAAAACAATCTGAATTACGAGGTAACGTCAGCACATTAACATTTAGTGTGAAAGTCTAAAGATAGCTCAGATGTTTTATTTGTTCCTGTTGTGGTTATTCAAAAGAAAGACAGTCAGCTGAAGAGTTCCTACAGTGGAAACTTAACGAGAAGGGAGATCTTTGAGGTGTGAAATCATTCATAGTCTGATGTGGGCGTGTGGGTTTCCACAGGGATCACTTCAGTATTTTTAGCATTAGAAACTACGTGGAGTAAATCTGAAACTCATCATGACTCTGAATGTTAGATGCAAGATTTGTGCTTATCTTTATTTAGTTCTGAGTGTCTTTCAGTAATATCTGTAAGAAAAACTTCCGCTTAGAGCTGCTTGATACAACGCACTCTGATATCCAAAGTGTGTCAAAGAACAGGGTCAGTGATGCCGTCATGGTTACAGAAGACTCAAACGGGTTCTGAACACAAACACGTCCATCTCACGTTACTTCCTCTTGCTGTCAGCTGTGATGGATCAATCCAAATTCGACACTTTTTTCCCTCTCCAGCTTTGTTTTAATGCTGTGGTTCACAGAAATTTTTTTAAATCTTATTTTAAATTTTAATCAGTCTCCCTGAGTTTTTAATGCAGGCTAACATGAAAATAGTCTCCTACACCTATCTCCTGCATTAGCCTCTGATAGAAAATAGACAGTGAAACTCTAGGATTAGAAAATCCTGACAGATCTACGTCACACTGTCACTAACATTCATGGGCTCACCCATCTTGACTCACGACGGGGAAGGCAGAGACTTACTTGTTCGTGAAAAGTTCATCAACTCTGCATCAGCCGAGGCATTTCTTAAATTTGAAGCAAGTTAGCAGTAGTCTAACGCTATTGGTTAGTTCTGGTCTGCACTCAGTTTCCTATTGCACTGAGCTCTGTGGGGCAGGGGTCATGCCTAGCAAAAAAAAAAAGACATATTGCTTACATTTTATCAAAGTACATGATGAGATAATCACTTTTTCAGATTCCTGAAAAATCATGCATCATTTCTAAAAGGGGAAAACTCTGGAAAGCAGCTTTAAATGGGAGCACATTACAACATTTTTTTTCTTTAATTATATTAGTTCTATGATCTATAAAACATATGTTCAGGAAGTCCTCTGCACTAAATCTGTCACACAAACAGCTGTTCATGCTGTTTTGTTCTTGACATTGTCAGTACCTTCCAGAATGAGCCGTTTGAGGGCTCTGCTACTTTAAGATAACAAGCCGGAGGTGGCCACGCCCACCCATTCCCCACTCAGGCTGCTGTGAGCTAAGAAACTCAGATATCTGGGAGGGGCTTGGAGGGGAGCCGCAGCGCCTCCAGCAGCTGATCTCTCTTGCGTGTGAGGGGTAGTTCTATTCTACCTTCCTTGTGATGTCACAAGTCTGTGAGGTCTCTCTCTCTCTGTGTGTGTGTGTGTGTGTGTGTGTGTGTGTGTGTGTGTGTGTGTGTGTGTGTGTGTGTGTGTGTGTTTGTGTGTGTGTGTGTGTGTGT